ACCTAACTGTTCTTTCTAAAGAAGTGAGTCCACTTCTTTATCCAAACAGGAAAATCTGCAGTATATCTAAACAAGCAAAACACCCCACGAAAGCAATTTTTTTTTTGTTTCATTAAAGAGAGAGAATAAACTGGAAAGCATTGTGTGAGAAGTTATATTGGTATAGCTGGAGGCTTTAGAAAGTAAACTAGATGTAAAATTAACATGTAAACCTACTAAAAAGGAGGAAAATACGAAGTATTACCCCGGTGTTTTGGATATAAGATGGAGGGAGGGAACTATTCCACTCTCCATTGCTGGAGCAGCATGTGGTTTGGGAAATTACACTTCAAGAAAGATTTTGGGGGAGTCCAAAATAGAAGAATGGTGAAGAAGCATATGGATGAAAGAACTGTATATGGATCTCTAGAGATATGTATTTGCAGTAAATCCAGATGCAAATGAAAATTTTGGTATACAGTGGCAATGGACCACTGACAGATGCTCACGTGTTAAGAGCAAGAGTTTCTGGAGAAGCCTGAAGGTACTTAAGGATCTGTGGCATTTGTCACCTGAGTCTCTCCTTGCAGAGTACCAAAAGCAAAGCAGATGTGAGTAAGGAAAATGGAAGCTCATTTCCAGGGCTTAATATGATCACAGGAAAAAGGGGGTCTGCCCCAGAAATGCTAGAATGATTAAGAAAAAATGATAAATTCAGTTTATAAAGTAAAAACAATTGTGAAATGTGAAGAAAACAATTAGGCTGCAGTGGCACTAGAAAATATTGGCAACAAAGAAATTAATTTTAAGAAATACAAAGCTGGGCAATCACGCAGTGAAAATTCACTCCCAATTCTATAAAATGCAGAGCATCAAGTTAAAAGATAATAGCTTTTAGGTTTAGCAAACGACTTGGTAGCCTTCTTGAGATCTGGACAATATCAAACAGAAACAACAATGGGAATGGCTGGTAGAATAGAGATGTGCAATGCACAGTAGGGGAAGCACCGGCTTGATCAGTAGCTAAGATACGTTAATGACTAAAAGAAATGGGATCCAAAACTGAACAGTCATTAGGTCTGACAGGAAGAAAATTATTGGGGACATTCATCATTACAAAGCCAGGAAAATGTGAATTTAAAAAGTGCTCCTTTAGAATTTGATCAAGAAGCCTGGATTCTTAAGACATGTTTTATCATAATTAATATCTATGTAATAAATGGGTGTTTTACAAACTTACAGAGCAGTGGGTTTGTTTGTTTTAAACCACATCGCCACATGAAACAGAAAAGATGTAGCCCAGTAGTTCCTAAATGCAATAATCCATACGCCATAGTCGACATTTAATATTTTTTGCAGCTGACTGCCCCAGCCTCATGGATGCCAGATGACCTGAGATACTTTCAGTGAAGGCAAGAGGCAGAGAACAAGCTGTCCTCCTGCCTCCAGAGGCAGCCGCAGTGCCACACCACGGTACTGTCACAGCAAAAGGGAGATAATGGCTTAGATGCCTCAAGATACTAATGCCCAAAACAAGTTTCCATTTTACTTGCTGCAGTTTTTGTGGGTCTGAGACAAAAACTGTCTTCATTTGCTGACCATTTCTGCCAAATATCAGTAGTAGGAAGAAGAGTCACAGCTACAAAATGTGAGGAAGTGGATCTAACACACTTTGACGCAAGAAAAAAACCCCACTAACTTATGAAAGGGAAGGGTGTAAAAACAAGCTCCCAGAGTTTCTTTTTCGTTTGTTCCAACACACTGCTAGATTTAGATTTTTAACATTCCTTGTGTCTCATTCACAGTCCTGTATGAGAAGTGCCAGATGCTAAGAAACTAAATGAGTTCAGTGTTAAGAGTACCAGTGCCTGGGTACCGTCTCTTTGTGGGAGCGGGTTCAGGCTGGCTTTCTACACTGGATCTTAAAAACTAGGTAATGATAAATCTCAGCAGATCCAAAGGGCAAGGAAAAGACTGCTTTTACAACAGCAGATGGCTTGAGCCAACACAAATCAACTTCAGGATACACAAAAGCTATTGGAGGTTAACAAGAAGTCAGGCTTTTCTCAGCCTGACTTCTAGCACACGGTAAAACCTTTGAACATGATGAAATCTATTTATAGAAAGCCTGATAAGATGAATGCTGCCAATCTGAAAATCAATAAAAAGAAATGAGAGCTATTCCAGAAAGAACTGATTTACCTTGTACACATAATCAGAAAGAGAGAATTCCTACAATAAGAAGCTGAACCAGTGCATACGCTGGCCAGCTGCCCAGACTGCTACAGAGTTTTGCACCATTACACAACATTTTCTGTGGGTTCATCAACACTCCAAAGTCAGCAGAAATGCAAGGTAAGAAGGGGCAAATACTTTGGTGGTCAGCAGAATGAGATCCAGCACCAGCAGTATTAAATTGCTTGCATTTCTATTCTGATTTCAAAACCCTTTTCACCATGCTATCAGTTGTGCTTGTTAGCACGGTGCCTCTTCCAAAAAAGATTTAAGTTTTTCAGTAAGGTTCACTGTACCACCCCCAAAAAAATCCTGAAAAAGGTTAAAATCTGCAGAGCTTTTGATCTCCATTTGGAATACAGTGAGTTCAGAGCCAGCACAGGGCATTGAATCCTGGCGACACTTCTTTACAGAGGAGCACCTTGCCAGGCAAATGGAAACTGGAAACGCTCTGCTTCCACCGTGGCACACAAGCCTGGGCAAAACCACAGTAATGTTGGTGGCGTAGCAATGGCTTTACTGGGAGCTGGCCACAGAATTGGTTTTAAGGAGTGGAGCGCTCTTTGGAAGAGATGAGTGTCTCCCCTTGTTCCACCACTTGAAGAAATACAGATGTTCCCAGTTGGAGTGAGCTTGCAGAAAAGGACTTCGAAGTAGATACAAGCTTCCAATAACTGGAGATCGAATGTCAGTGTTTTCTGTGACTGCAAAATCACGCAGCAAACACAATCTCCTTTTAGAATACTACAGCAGAAAAAAAAAAAAGGGATGGGCTATGGAGTGCATAAAACAGGACAGGACAGGAATGATAGTCCAAACTGGTCAGACCTGGGACTCAACTCTGAGGTCAACCTAAAAATGTGCAATGGGATTTTGGCATGATCTTGTCCTAAAACTCAGGGAACATTTGCAGAAATCATGGCTAAGGAAATGGGGACAGTCATGTGCTGGGCAGCAGGCTTTGCAGATACAAGAGGAGCCTTTCCATGGGGTTATGAAAAAAAATCCATGGACATTTAGATGAATATATAACTTCTGTGTAAATATGTAAATAGTTAAAAGCGTCATTTACAATCTGTTATGCATTTGCTCTCTGATTGAATAGGTTGCTCTGGATATCACCATCATCAGTAAAGTGGGAAAAGCTGAATTGGGGATGTTGTTACAGGCTGGGTTGCAGCTATATTAAAGTGATAAAAATTAACTACTGTCCTTCAATTTTAAATAAAGGTAAGCACACTTTTGACATCAAGCAGCTGAAACAACACTCCCCCTTAAAATACATGCAAGCAACCATTCCAATAAAAAGCTCATGCAGAGGTCACAGGAGCAAGAGCGTATCACTGGCTATTTATTTTGTGACTTTCAAAGGTGATTATTTTTGCTTTAATTTTCTTGAGTTACCGTTTGCTTAGTGAAGATGGTTGTTAGCAACTGCAGTAATTGTACTTTTTATCATGTCTCTGAGTTTAGTGAAGGCAATAATTTCCATTAGAAATCTTAAGGTGAGTTTGGAAATGGGAGAAGCCACTCCTACAAAGGGAAAACGTATGCAGACAAAAGCTAATGTACTGAAGCCAAGACAAGAGATCCAACAGATAGGGAGGGCACAGCTCCCTGCAGAAGTCAGTAAGCTTTGTATCCAAAGGACACTCAAGCATTCTGCAAGACAGGTCCAACTACTTCACATCTTCGCCCAGGGTCAGCAGTCATTTAAAATATAATGGTTTCTAGCCTGGAAAGTAGGACGCATTGAATCTACCTGATCCAGGGAAATTTAAGCTGAAAAAACAGCACAGAGGAATTGGAGCTGTCCTAGTGTGGTTTCGACTTCAAAGTTCATCCACAGTCAGCGCAGCCAATGCTGTTCAGGTGCTCTGTCTGCTGATAGCACCGTGCAGGAAGAAGGAACAACTTCATCCTGAATGTCGGAGCTGTCTACTGTGCGTGATCTCTCACTCACCAGAAAAGATGGACCACGGGTAGACTTTGGAGGTAAAAGAAATCAATGGTTTTCTACTAGTCAGCTACAGGGTAACGGCACCTACACAGCATTAAAAATTTATCAGCATTTTGACAGGACATGTCAGCATCCTGAGCAACAAACTGAAATGTGCTTCTGAAGGACAGCTCTTTCAAGGTCTAGATAGGCATAGAGCTGGGAGTAGCTTCTTACAAGAAGTAAAAATTTAGTTATAGCACTAATAGGACAGAATTCTGGAAAAGAAGGTCATGTAAAGCTCCTCTAGAAGCAAATACCCAAATGTGGTGTTTATGTAGTTACTTATGTGCTGTTTGCTTTGGAGAGATAAACATATCCACCTTTCATGAGAACCATTGAAAGGACAGAGAGAAAAAGAAGGAGAAAAAAAATGTAATACGTATAAAAGGATAATTAAATCAGCTTTGCAAAGAAGTCTCACTCTGCATGCCGTTCCCTGCCACTAATACTACCCTCATTTTTTCACTCAGTACCACATCTGTAGGTCTCAGGCATGCAGATCCAGATATGCCAAAACTATGAGTTCAATTCAAATGAGTTCCACAAGATGCAGACGTTTCTGCAGCTTTGCTTGCAGCATCACTGCTGTACCTTTCAAGACCAAAACCTAGATCTTCTGCAGATTATCCGAATTACTTACATTGCTTTTGGCCAGACAACTTACATGGCTGAGAAACTGCCCCAAAGCTATTGAAAAAGTAATTCACTTTTATCCACATCTAACACATTCTGGAGAACATTTTCCACTGCATTTTAAATATTTTTTCCACTTATAATTTCTTACCTGAAGAGTTTTGACTTTTCCTAAAACGTTCTCCTGTGACATTGCTTGGATGGCCTGTTCACTCTCTGTTCTCCCATCAGGTATAAAAATACTGTCATGGGAAAAAGCTCGACTGCCCATAGAATAATGGGAGGACCTGGAAAAAAACAGTTAAAAAGTAAATAAGCACAGCAATTAATTTATGAGAGTGACACTTCATATCATAGTTGCCCTGCTGTATAGATTTTCCCTCCCCCTTGCCTTGTACATAAAAGCTTTGAACATTCTCAGAAGAGAGGTATCCAAACATTTTCTGTTATCAAAAGTTTAACGGAGGTATATGATTCCTTCACATACAGTTTTCCTCCTTGGAAGGACATAGAGTGAGGTGTTTTTAATGGGCATGTTGAAAAGGTCAATCGATTTTCCTTAGAAGCCTCAAATATAAATGTTACTTTTAGGATACAGGGTAGATGAGGATGATGCATACACTACCACACTGCATCTTTAAGAAAGGCTGCATTTGTGCTTAGTCCTGACGCTTGGGACCTGCTGTCATTCTTAGTCAAAGAAAGACAGCAGGTCCCAAGCAAAGGTAGCACTATAACACAAAAAGAGGTAGTACACTCTAGTAAACTACTTCTAAAGAGCTACCTTGTTCACCTGAATACTTAGCTGTTCCTATCACCATGAGTATGATCACACCAATAATAAAATGTTATCATCAAACCCCTGAATTGATACGAAGCTTATTACACCATCCTGTGTGGGTTTGATTAGCAACAAACAGCAAGAGATGCCCGTGTGTTACTGTTAAACTAGATACCGATGCCAAGGAGGAGAGCGCGTCATGAATGATCTAGTTATATGGCTGCTGTAAATCCATGGGCAAAGGGATTAAACAAAAAGTGGTTTAATTTCCTGGAGATTTTAAAGGCCCATCAAGAAAACTGAGAATTAAAAATAAAGGTTTGCAGGTTGTTACTTTGGGATTTGGGGGGCATTCTGGGGGAAAATGTTTGAGTTTGAAGGTTATGTTTCATCTTGCCTAGAATATTTTATGGTGAGTGGAAAGCCAGTATAATAAAACATGACAAAAGCCACAGCTGAAGAAAATTGAACTGAGAGGGCTCCTTTTAATAACCTATTGGCAGCTCTATGGAACCCATTTACAGCTTCAGTAACAAACAATCTGGAGAAAAACAATACTTTTTATACCAATGTAACTAACACAATCTTCTACATGTGATAAAAACATTATAAACAAATACTTCAGCAAAACCAAGGAAGATGACACTTTCAGAGAGAGGGATAAGTAAAACAACAAGAAAAATTAAAGCCTCACATATTTAAGAAAACCAGTATATTATTTTTTTCTCCTTTCTAAATTATGCTCCATTTTTATGAATTGCTCAAAATATTTCTATTCATAGTTTGAAAAAAAATATGTTTGGAATGTATTTATTACATTTTTATTTTGTTGTTTTTTTTTTTTTTTTCTGGGGTACGGAAATAATGTTTTTAAGTAAAAATGATAATAGTTTCTTACCAAGAAAGAGTGCTATATAGGGTTACATTAACCTTTTATAACCAATTAAATGATAGGTTATTCCTGACTTTTATAACACCATTTCTTACAGGTAACCTGAAAATAATAGAAAAAAAGCCACCCGCAACCTCTTACTCTCTCTAGTTTATATTTAAAATACAATCACAAAATAAATCATCCAAGCTTTTGGGGAGAACACACACAGCTCCCTATATCATTTCATCCTCCATGCAAGCACAGACTAACTGAAAACCTATTTTTTACCCAAAATTAATATTTGAACAACATGCTTCATTTGAAACAAACCAGCACAAAATCAAGCAAAGAGCTGGTCAATATTTCATAGCATTTTTAGCCATCAGAGAGGGGGAACATTTAATTGATGCTATATTCTATGTCAGATTTTTAAAAAAAATAAAAACCACAACTCAATTGGCTTTGGCTGCTAAAGGTAATACACCTTCTTTTAGAAACCTTTTATTTGAGAAACCATGAAAGTACATTTTTAAACTCTCTTCTACAAAGGTTTCTATACCAAATCATCGTGACTCAGCCTGTACGCAGAGCTGTGGTAAAATTGTGTGCCATTGGAATATATCTACCTTCCTTGGTCGTCCCAGAGTCAGCCCATGAACCACAGCCCGAGAAATGCCCCTTAAACAGAGAAAAATTCCTAGCAGGCCTGGCTTGCAAAATGAGTGGTTGACATGAAGCTGAGTGAAAGGTGGCTTTTTTCATATAACCATGTAGGTCTGTTTGAACTGAAAGCTCCAGCATTGCCTTCAACAAGGGGTGGGGGGAAAAAGCCTGTATTCACAACCAAAACTGAGGGGAACATGCAAAATCTGACAAACCAGCCCACGCCAACTCCTCCTGCATTTGCATGATTCCATACGTGAAACTGCTGCAGGTGCAGAAGGCAAGGCCAAGGGGAATTTATTGTTTACTATTTACCTTTGAGCTGAGAGATCTGCTGAGGATGCATAATTCAGTCATACTGTGCTCCAGAGAGGATCCTCTCTCAAAGATTTTTCCAGCAATACTGTGGCTCAGATACTTATGGCTTTGTCTCACAGCTATTACAGTGCATATGACACCATTCTCCCCTTTTACTGTCCAGTGGGTTGGCGTTCTCATACTTAAAATTAGACAGCTCATGTTTATTCCTATTGTTTGTTACAACTAATTAGTAGGCGAGGGTTGCAATTCAGGCACCAAAGAGTTCAGTGACTTGTTTACGAGTTGTTCTTGACCTTACTAATGAATCTGTTAATATTTAAGTTGGGAACAGCCAACCTGCAGCTTTTGAACTGAACAGGGTTTGCTAGCAGTTCAAATCCCAAAACTTCAGCTGACCAGCAGCAGGGATGCTCTGGCAGTAGGAACTGCCCGATAATTTGAGTCCCTGAAATGGAAGAAAAGAGCAACTGCTGAGGTCAGTACTTGTGGACTGCCTAGGACATGGCTGCGGATGAAGATCTTCCCCATCCTGCTACATTGCTGAGGACACCTTTAGTTATCTAGTCTCACCTCCTGCCTGTGAACTAATCCAATGAATCTCCTGACTGAGATACACAGTACACCAGCTTTTGGCTATGTGCAGATTTGGGTTTATGGCTAGTATGATCAGACTTGTTAAAATGTCTTTTAAAGCTTCCTTTGGGACACCAGGTCATGTGAAACAGCTTTGGAGCTTCATGTGACCAACAATCATAAGAACATCACCACTGGAAGTCCAACCCTATCTCTGACAAGTGCCCGCAGGGGTACCGATGGTAGGTTAGGACCGTGCTAAGCACGTACAGCATCTCTCTCTGATGTTCTCCCATACGCCAACTGCTTTCAGTTTAGGCACTTCACTCTTCATTACATGGCATCACACAGTTTTGTTTCATAGAGCTGAGGCCAAACATATTTGAAAGCTTTTGTCCATTTTTGTTTTCTTATTAACTTGTTACCAAAACAAACATACTCCAAACTGTCAGAACATATGAAACGTTCACAAGAAACCCCACAGTGAATTAACCCAAGTCTTCTCTCTACTGTATCTCCTCAAAATGTTTTGCAGATATACTGGATAATTCAGAAGTGGGTGACTGAGTAATTTTGCTAGCCACATGTCCAATAACCAGTAAAAATGTTCTAAGAATTTTGCTTAAATATCTATGTAGGCTAAAGTACATTGGAAAAAATATGTTCACACATCGTAGTAACCTAGTTTCTTTTACAGGCGAGTTCAAATAGTGTTTAAGGTGATTTCCAGGCTACTTGAACTTTCTGAAAGGTCTCTTATTTTACTCACTTGGAGCCCACAATCCTTTCAAATCTTCCCAGCTGTGGGTTTGATAGATTATATCACAAAGGTCCCTTTTCCACCCCTTTTTTCACTCTCCTCATGTTCTACTTTCAGAAAGACTGAATTTCTTTTAAGTCATAATACAGTATGAATAATTGTGTTTCCTTCACTGCTACCAACATTCCCATCTCTGAAGTTTTTCTCAGAAGCCTCTATACAATAACATCCTCACAATCCACATCTAGAGACTGTGCTTCAGAAAGCCCTCACCTGAATTAAAAGGCATGCCGACATCAGGAATGGCTTTTGATAGATTCATGGTATGTTAGAGACCTGGGCTACAGTCATAGCCATAGCTGGAGGTATTACAGTTTCAAACTGCCATATCACTTCCAAGACATGTGGGAAAACAGTGATATCAGTTTATGAGCACTTTTGTTGATAATACTGATGATGACACTTCAGAGGCTGTTTGTGCTGAAAATAATTGAATCACATCTGACTCACTTCCAGAAACCTGACTAAATTAAATGAATTATGGATGTGCTATACCAAAATACAAAGCACTTTTAGCAAACCCTTAAAGACGTTCTCTCTGAAGATGAGTTGCAACCCAAGTATCTAGTTCCAGTTTCAGCTCCAATACATAAATTTTCAAAACTAATTTTCTCGTACTTGAAGCAAATTTAAACTCCATTCGTTCTCAGAGTTTTATTTGCCACACCTGTGTCTCTTCAGATTCCTGAAGATAGGTCGGAATACTTGGCTTCTCAGCAAAACTAAGAATGTACTTTTCAGCTTCTTTTATTAGGATGAAATTCTTAAGAACTACTACATTTTTGAGAATGTATGAAGGGGTTCTTTGATACACATGGGCTTTGGCACAAAAGGAGCACACCAGGATATGTCTTCATCTTAAGGGTACTCCAAGAGCATAAAAGCACAGCAGAGCCAGCCATCCCACGGGATTTTTACAAATAATTAAGCCAGTAGTGTCAAATCAGTGGGAAACAGAGCAAGACATGGAGTATGAGGACCACACCACATCTTGACCATGGATATGACGTGGACTCCTAGCCCAGGTTTAACTGTATGTAGCTGTAAAAAAGAATTGCCTCAAATACATCTCGCCCCTAACTAGCTTTCTTCTGCACAAAATGAATATGTTTCTCAGATTCTTTGTTTAACTCAGTGCTGATAAATTCATTCCCCTGGAAAGGGAGAACACCTTCTGTTGTATTCCAGACTTCTGGAAGAGTCCCAGAAAACTACAGGTGAAACAGGTTAGATAGATAGTGCAAGTATCATAGAT